TAAGTTGTCAAGAACATCTCCCCCCACAAAGAGCTGAAAAAAAGCCCAAAGCTGGTGTTATTCACGGTAAATATCATGGTAGAGCTTTTTTCCTAAGAAACCAATTTATTTTAAATAGGCTTTCTACCATTCTTTTATGTCATTTTTGCAGAGCCAAAGTCAGACAAAACCATGGTTGTCTTTGTCTTGGTCTCACAGCGTGTAGGAAACTGAGCTCTAATATTTAGAGTAGTCATTTCCTGAGCTGATAAAACTTTCTGTGTCCTCCATGGACCATGACGAGGCTACAGCAACTGAAGGATCCATCTGTGATGGTCTTGTCTTGACCACTCAGGTTGCCCCTTTCTGATTGAAGAAGATACAGGAAAAGGACAATGTTAGCACAGAAGGGTCTATATGCCAAGGAATGCACAGATGCTATATGCTAACGGTGTAATGCACCAGTGCTGGAGTGGAGAACCCTTAAATACCTGCAGTGATAAAATTCAGAGCCCAGACAAGAGGGAGTCTGTTTTAGAGAGAATTATTTATTAGAAGATAGGAGGTTGTTACGTACAGATTCTGTCCTGCAAAAGTGTCCTGGTCATGGATTTGTCAGGGAGACATTTAAACCCGTTAGAGCTGGCTCTGGTCTCCACGCAGAGATACTCAAGACACAGCAGACCTCTGCCAGACCTGGCTCTCGTGCTGGTGGCTCAGCTGGGGAGAGGCCTGGCGTACCACAGCATCCCTGAGCTCGTTACACCATCTTTATCCCACTGGAAAACCTGGCCTGTGGGCTGGAAACCAGTGGTAGGGACACCAGACGGTGCTGCAGAAGGGGCACCATTCTTCCCTGGGATAACTTGGAGATATTTACCCCAAGTAGGGAATTGTCTTCCATCGTGCCAGCGATGAACATGGCTGAGCAAGTGGCTACGAAGATACAACCATGCTATGAGGTAGCATGAGGTAAATGACAAGAAAAAAGAATTTAAAAAAGAAAGATCTCTGTGATACAGAGAAGAGCTCTTCCCACCTTCCCTCACCCCAAAACCAGGCCAAGCAGGCAATGCCTGAGTCCTCTGCAGAGACCTCCAAGAAAGCAGCTCTGACAGGTGGATCACAAAAAGGCAGCAATTTTGCCTTATAATAGTTGTGCTCCTAGCAGTATTCCTCCCAATTTCATGGGTGACCTGTTTTCTTTTGGGTTGGCAGGTAGTATTTGTCAGCCTTTCATCCGGTCTCTGCACAGCCCCTGCGGTGGCTCAGGGCTTTGCCAAGTGAAGCCCAGGTGAACCAGAAAGCTGCTGTGCTGGTTTTTTGCACCTCCTGAGCCAACTCCAGGCCCGTGGTATGCTGCACAGAGCACGGGCAGCAGTGGTGGAGAGGCAGGGAAATGGCAGATGAAGGGCATCGGCCATCAAATTGGCCATAACAGAAGGGCCTGAGACCAAGCCTTCTGCAGATGGTTAGTGGCTGACAGCCAGTGCAGAGCTTGGTTTCACACCAGCCCCTGGGCTTTGTTCTTATTCCAGGTGTGCAGCTTCCTGCACTCTGCCACTGTACACGTGGCAGAGCAAAGCGGATTGACCAGTGGCTATAAGTTTTCTTCTGATAGACAACCATCAACATGGACATTTTCCCAACATCTAGCAGGTTTCTTGAAGGAAGGTATTATCCAGGAGCCATCTGTTTAACTTTGTAATTTATGGGTGCTGAAGGGTAAGTAAATACTCAAGAGTCTGGCTCCTAAATCTGGACCTCTGCTGAAGCCACATTCTTGTCTACCCAAGGGACTTTGCTGCCTGGGTCAGAGTATCACCTTCACCTCACTGTCTGCGAAGGCACATTTAACTCTATTTCTCCTTATTAAATCTCAGTCTATGGCTCCAGAGACTGCCTGTAAAACCCTGGGCAGAATCCCCCACTTTGCCCATACTGTATGTGAGCTTTTGTCTACTATCAGGACTCTATCAAGAGTATTTTCTTTTCAGTCCACAGTCCTCTGAAGGAAAAACTCTTGTTGGAACAGGTTTGTCAAAAATTTAATATAATTGTCAAAACCAGCTGTTTATGGCTTGTCTATCGCCATTTGTCTCTTCCCATCTCAATCCAAGAGTGGCATTTGTTAGCTTGGTATATTAGAAACCTTTGAAACTGGGGACTTGGCAGTGAACGCTCACAGCTGATGCCAACGTCAATACAAAAGATGGGTCAGACTACAGACCTCAGAAGGGACAATTTGTGAGGTGAGCATTTTTATTTCACTGCAGATGACCTTCAAGGTTGGAGGTACTGGGGATGGGGAATAACAATAAGATTGCAGCTATAAAGCAAAGCAGCAGACCTCCAGTTATGTTTAGGATAGTAAACACTCAGCATTGAACAATGTATCTAACTAGCTTTGCCACAAACATGCCTATTTTTAATCAGGTTTTATGTTCCTAAGGCACTCGGACTCCTTTTTTGGAACTGATAGTCTGATATTTGGGGTTGGGAGGGTTAGGAGAAATGTTCCATGAGGGCATAGTACACTTAGTTGAGGGGAATAGATGCTCCAGACTCACTGAGTTATCAAAACTTCTGGAGCAATCACGGCCACATCTTCAGTTTTTAAGGATTTCTATGGCATTGGTTGTGCTCCCACCTTCTTCACCCTTTGGAAAGGGGCGAGCTGAGGACCCCCAGGCCCTCTGAAGGCCAGCAAGTTGGTGGTATTTGGGAGGGCAACATCCCACTCCAATATGGGAGCTCAGCAAGCCAGAGCTCTTTGCCTACTATTTGCCACAGAACAACAAATCTAGGGGTTTGATCTGAAACATAATCTCCTTCCCTCCTCTCTCAGCCCTAACCTTTAAAAAAAACCCCATTGTCCCATCCTGGTCTGAGGTTTAATTCTACCTTGGTCAAGTGCAAGAGCAGACAGCAGAATACCCGATATTAATTTCAGGCTAACATTTATAGGTAGCTTTTTGCCTCCATTTCCATTACTCCCTTCCAGAAGTAGTTTTTCAGCCACCCATGGTGAGAGCTTGTTCCTCCTAGGACTTCTTGAAACACCTCGATGAGTGAAGCTCACCTGTCAGAGCTGCCTGGATGTTATAGGTAAGAAAAGTTCTCACTGATGTTTTTGGAGAGAAAAGGCAGGACAGAGGACATTTTCTCTCCAGAGCATGTGCACAAAGGCAGGAGGCATAGGAGCTTTTCCTCGAGACCAGACAAAGCTGGCTCCTGAAGTGTCCCTGCAGTGATGCAGAGCGAACTCCGAGCATCCTCAGGGTGCCACCCTGGCACAAGCAGTGCGTGACTTACCGGCTCTCTTTGGGACCCCCTGTACCGAGGGCTGTGGGGAGGTGTGCTGCGAGGTAGCGCTACGTGGCCGCACTAGGGAAGCCTAACAGGGAGGGCAGACACGGAGAAGCTGGAGAAGCTCGAAGCAGAGGAGTGCAATTCACTGGGGCTCCAGCAGCGCAGGGCAGAGGGGCCGTTACCAAGACTTTGTGGCACTTAATCGTCACTATGTTTTGAGTATCTCAGCTGGGCATGTAAGACCAGTTCTAACAATATCCAAAAGAAAGAACATGTTCTCATTTGTATAGTGTATGACGTTACAGGGGAATAACCCATTACATAGAAAGATTTTGAACATTAATTACAGAATCTTTTATAACTTTGTAATTCAATTGCCAACCCTTTCCCTTGAAATTAATTATGGATGTACATCATACAATCAAACAAGCTTTTTTAAAAAGTACATCTTAATATAAATAGTTTATTCAGTGCATGGTTGTGTATACAACAAATAATAAACAACTCTTTTGTACGAAGCAGAAAGCTGCCTGTACAGAACTATGTCAGTTTTGGAGCACAGAATCCAACGATGATTAATGCACAAAATCTTACACATCATGCAACTCTATGCCAATATTCCAACTTTCTCCCATGCAACAGACATGATGACCTAAATGGAAACCTAACTACATTTTTTAAACAATTGTTTCCAATAGCATGTATAAGTATATGTTGTTTAGGGGTAACCTGTCCTAACGCTTCCTCCTACACAATATTCACGTGCCCATTACAGTGAAAGAAGGACTTTTACAAATAAGACATTTCTTATAAAAAAATTAAGTCACCTTAATTCCACAGTATCTGTCTTTAGAAAAGAAGCCACAACAATAGTTTAACATGACACACAAAATGGAATTAAGAGAAATCTACACTGGAGGATAATTTTATCCCTTTCTGTTAACTTCCACTTGGGATAATAAAACAACTCAATTCCTACAGACTGGGGTTAGCACAAGAACTTTACCAGAAACTACAAATCTATAAAAATTTATATTTCATTGTGTTTAAAACCACAAGAACACCGTTTGCTTGAGCCTGAGACACCAACTCTCAGTTCCAACCCTGAATTTTTAATTATTTTTTTAAAGACATAGCTTTAAAGACCCATTGGAGTTCAGAAATCAAAAAGTTGCACTATTCCAAATTAAAGGATACATTTTTATCAAGCCTTAGATATAAAACGGTAAGCCAAGGAAACAACAGAGTTTACATATTTGTTTTTTGTTTGCCCCTATAAAACATACAAGCATTAAAATTTCCTTTGAAGAGCAAAAGTGGTCTTTTTCTGAGTTGGAAAGCAAATTCTTATCAGCAGTGAATGCTGTGAAATGTTTTTGTTTTGTATTCCACAAAGCATAGGAGAGAGAGAGAAAGAGAGAGAAAAAGAGAGAGAGAGAAAGAGCTGGACATTTCTTCTCCGAGATTTATTCCGCAGTTATGTTTGCTGGCTATCCAAGTGCCTTGTGATATGCACAAGCATATTCTACATTATTGGGGTATATCCTTTGACAACCAGTAGATCTAATGGCTGATAAACAAGTGACCTATGCAAGTTCGGTGGCTTGTCCTGGGCAATTGAACGTTTGGATGAAAGACTGCTAGTAAGAATTCAACTGCATCCAGAGGTAAGGTTCTGTTTAGAGAGCACTTGGCTTGCCTGAACCTGGCTACGTTGACTCGTTTTGGCTCATGGATTTACCCCCATTTAGCACTCCTGAAACACTTCTGCTCTTTGTTGGGGTCCCACTTCCAGATCTTGAGAACTCTGTGAGATCGTGGAGAGAAGGCTCTTTGTACATGGCCACTGCAAAGCAAAAGAGAGGCAGCACATCAGCACGCGTTACGGGCTACTCAGTCTGTTGGTGCAAAGTCCGGCTGCAAAACATTGGGATTTTTCATTCAGCAATATGCAATGTAAGGAGTGAACGAAAGAAAAATGGCAAGGAGACCTCTTCCATTTCAAACACTCCCTAAGAATCTCTGAGGTCCTCTTTAAGGGAATGAGAGAAGGGAAAAACCACAGCTCCCTCCCTCTCCCAGTTAAATCACCCACCTACCCACTGCACTTAAAAAACTCGGCAAGATAGACCTAAGCTGATATAAATCAACATTTCCTTATTAGTGGTGAAGTAGCACTGCTGACAGCTGTGATTTGACCTCTTACTTGTATAGGTAGCCTAAGCAGGTGGGTGCGAAAATGGATTTTCAGTCTTCTGTTTCCTTTGTTTTCACACGTGTTAGAAGTGAGGATCAACCTTGACATCAGTTGCCTAACACCTAGTCCTAAATGTGGACTGCCAGACTAGTCCAGCATCCACCCAGAGCTCTGCACCTTTGAAATATCCTCTCTGATTTCAAAATGATGCTGCCTTAAAAGGCTACCTAAGAGCATAACCCAGAAGTAGAAGGCTTCACTCCTCTTAAGGAAGGAGCATATGGAAGCTAGTTCTTCTTGAGAAAAGGAGCACCTCCATACATCAACTGAGATCTCCCTCTTTGCATTGACCAAAGAGGGAGCCAAGTCTGACCACAGTCCTGATTCAGATCCTTCAGTTAACTGGGATGACTCTATGTCCTGGCTTTTAATACACAGCGGTATACGTATGCCACATGCATTATTACCTTTAATGTCATATGCCGATGCCACATTAATTGTGGTTTAATAAGCACCGCACATTAGAGCTTTATCTCAGGCAAAAATAGACAAACAAACATCCTGTAACATAATGCACAGATTGACAAGCTATACAGCAAGTCGCTGATGGCCTGTGAGCGGATGTTTGAGCCATTCCAGGCAGAGCCTTCGTTATCTACAACAGAGACACTGTGGACTTTGGGCACAAAGAAGCTAATACGTGTATTTGGTTAGATTAGAGAAATGCGGTGGTAACGTAGAGAAACCTAAAAAAAGCAGCTCTAGTTAGATTAACAGTGTGTTACAGAACATTATACTCCTCTTATATAAGTAGCTGAATCCTTCAAATATGTATGCACAGCAATTAAACATCTCCGAAATAAGATAATGTCAGTTCAGATAGACGGAGCAAACCCAAGCAATTACCTTTTAATGGTTTTGGAAGAAAGTGTGCTGCAGGTTTATTTTTCTTCACGTGGTTTCCTTTCATTATTTCTCCTTCTTTGTTAAGACCCAAATACCAACCCCGGCCAGACTGTTGCTGTCTGTAGATCATTGAAGAATATGTCACATAGTAGTTTTCAAATACTGATTCTTTGAACTTGCATTCAGGTGTAAAATGTTCCTGTAAGAAAGTAACAGATCAATATGTGCAGTGCTGAATCTCACATCACTTAATGAAAAAGCATCCAATATTCATTGCTTTCCCGACGGTTAAAAGACATACCTCTCACCCTCCACTATCCAATTACGAAACATGGGCCCTAAAAGTATTAACAAAAGAGTAACACAATTTGAAACCCGTGAAATGACGCTGTGAGCCGCTCAAAGTAGCATAATAAAATCTTTTTGAACGACGAGTAAAAAGTCTAAGTGAAGAATTATTGATTGATGCAACTAATGGACCTTAGGCAGACGCAGCCCTGATGTCAACCCCAAGGGACCGGCTGTGGTCCAGCCCTGCAGGCGAGACGCGAGGCCACGTAATGCCTTTGTGCATTAACTGCTGGCCTTAACTGCTTATGAGGAAAGTGCAATAAAAATTCAAAGCCAGGATGTCATGAGTAAATGGTTGTCTCTTACTAACCCAGCAATATTAAGTTAGCTTGTAGCAGCTGCCTCTTTGGTCTAATCTATGCTCTTTTTCTGCCCAGCATATCATCCACTGAAAGCCCAGCTGTCAGAGAGCCATGCAGACGTTAGCCTCTGCTCTGGGACTGGTGAGAGCATATAGGATCAAGCTTTAGTCTTCATGTTGAATTGCACTGCTTCTTTTGGGGAGATGGTATTGGGCTAACAGCTAAAATAAAGAGCAATAATCTTTTCTTTCTCCAGTGGTGGGACTGGCTTTCACTGTGCAATGGTCTTGACTCAATACGTTTTGGCACTATTGCCCAGATTCAAAAAAGGACACAGACATGAAAACGGGTCTTGGAGGGACCTAAGACCAAAATGCCAGTCCTGACAGCACCACTCGGCTGCTTCCTAACGCCTCTGGGTGCTTCAGGTTTTTTAACATCAAAAGTTCTGACAACGTCTCACCTATGGACTCCTAAAAGTCCATAAAATATGACAGAGGAAGGGCTTGGTCTGGTGATGCAAATGTTAATATCACAGTCCTGCCTGTTGTCGCACCGCACCGCAGCCAGCGGTTTGCTGGTCTTTCCTTCTGAAGGCAGCCAGCTTCAGTGGAGCTGCCCTTGTGCTTAAAGTATCCTACAGCGGCGTGAAAGAAAGGAGGAAAAATTGTGCTTGCATAATGATTATAATTTTCATTTTAAAAAATCAAGGGAAATTAAATGTCTCAGGACCTTAAGATGTTCTTATCTAGTTTCTCAAATATTCTTGTGTGACAAAAAGATGGTATTTAAAAAAAAAACACTATGCATTTTCTGCACATCTTTTGCCGTTTTGTCGTCTCATAGGAGAAAGAAAAAACCTCCCATCCTCTGACTGGTGTTTGCTTCAACAAAGAATGTGAAGTAAGCAATTTTCTTCTTTTTTTCTTCAAGCTAATTGGCTGTTATTTAGTTAATTGACGATTGGTTTCAATTGCTGTCAAATGGGGACAGTCACTGCATTTTTGCAAGATTTCTAAATAAAAGCCTGCCATCACTGTACCCTGCCCAGCACTAGCCACGTTAACAAAGACTATTGCAAGTGTATCATCCAATTAGCAGCAAAATGGAAAACTACAGTACTCCCAGCGGAAGATTATGGTTTATGTACAGTAATTTGGAGCTGTTTTGGGTACAAAAAGCCTGCTTGTACACAGCGGCAGAGGGTCCGATTGCAAACAGAACCACAACATTTACTCCGGCTCTCTTAGGAAGCGAGTTAACCTCAGTGTGAGCAGCAGGAGTCAACAGCCTGCAGAGTCCCTTGAAACAGAGTGGGGAGACAGAAAGCAAGACACTATGTCGTGGTTTAACC